AGGCCTTCTGAGAGGATCCAGCCTAGTATCTGGATCTCCCAGCCTGTGTTGAGGGTGGCTGGTTCTTCTGTCTCAGTGTCCACTAGCCCTAGACTTTGTTGCTGCAGATTGATCCAGTGGGTACGTAGGCTAATGACCGTGAGTCTTTTTCCTTGTTTAAAGGAGTCCCTTTTGCTGAAAGTAGATGATTACTATTGCTGTAATGTTAAGAAAATATTAAGTTTGTGCTGAACATCCATTGCCATTTGGTACAAATGACATTTGTTCTTTCTGTGAAAGAGAGATGCCCTTGAGTGTGTTTGCACACAATCTCTTAGGATGGCGAGTTGAAGCATCAACCTCACGCTGGCTCAGTGACAAGCAACGTCACAAGGACAGCTGTAGGGAGATTGGGCTCTTCCAAGTCATTCTTGTCAGTTGCTCCATTGGTGACATGACCCCTTTCCCTCTTCCCATTTCAGTCTAACTTTAGTGTTTGCTCTGATATCATGTGTTAAAGCTTGTACTGCTGTGGAAGTTAATGTCTGCTCTCCGTCAGGCTCTGCGAGGTACATGTGTGGACTTGGAGCATGCACACTTAGCGCCATAGTCAGTAATGGTTCACTGTGTTCAAACACATCTACATAGAGTTTTCATTTGGAAAAAGAAACCTACTAGTTTGATGTCCTAAAACAAAAGCTGCTAAAAATCATAGGGAAACCAACTGAGGAGGAAAGGTGACTAAGTGACTGAAACGTGCTTCTGCCCTGAACAGCCCACTTGACCATGGGCCTGCACACAGCCCTTCTGTAGTTGCTTTGAAGGTGAAGCAAGGCCTTTGAGAGAAGAAATGGTTAGAAAAAACATTAAGCACTTTCTCTTTTTGCAAGTTGGTGAAAACGGATTCATCCAGGGAGCTTTATCTTTTCAAGTATCATATTCACTCTGGGAAACCATGTTTTAGAGCATGCTGGGTTTTATTTAAAACTGGTTAAAATAAATGTTATTTCCAGGTGGAAAATGACTTTTGGTTTGGTTTGAGGGTAAGAAAGGGAGGGGAAACTGCTCTTTAATTTAATAATTACGTTCAGCCAATGATGAAGTATTTGATTATTAGACAGAAATATCACTAATAAGTTTTCAGTTGTCTGAAATTAATTGTAAACATCAATACAGTACTCTTTAGTTATGGTAAAGACATCGTAAGATGAATGGCTCATATTTTGGTGCAGTGTTTGATGTTCAAAACAAAATGTTACAACAATAAACAAACATAAACTCTGAGTGCATTTGACTCTTTCTTTCAAGGGACAGTTAAATCATATTCTCTATACTTTTGCCAGAAATTGATAATTTCCATAAATTAGCATTTTGATCTTTTCTGACACTTAGACGATGCGTCTATGTGCTTATTTTTAAAACCTGATTCCAGAAGTGAAGCTACACTCATAGGAACTAACCTCTCTTGCTTTGTAGGTTCTGCCAGGAAGTGATTCATTCATACATATGTAATTTCTCTTGTAGTCTGGCTGGTGGACATATCAGCCCTTTAGAGTCCCCTAGGAGTTCTACTCAGTCCTGAACACCCCACCTTTCATTAAACCCTTCCTCGGGATTTGCCACTTAGCAGTCCTGATGTTTTCATTAGATCAGGGGGAGTCAAAGTGATCTTTGACCAAAAGCCCACATCCCACAGATTAAATCCTTTTCATCCTCTCAGATTGCTGCAGGGCAGCACATGTTGGATCACGGGTCTCTCCATCAGTGAGCTTTCAATTATCAAAAAACTTGGTATTTAATTCCTCTTTACTATGATAAGAGGGCAGGGTGACAGGAACTATGAGTCTTTAGGAGGGTATACTTTGGGACTGAAAATGAAGAACTCAGAGACTGCAGCATCTCAGATTATAATGAGTACAGAAATCTCCTAAGAGCTTGTTAAAGTGCAACAGGTTTGAGGGTACCCAAGAGTCTGCATTTCTGGTTAGCTAACAAGTCGAGCTTTATTGCTGGTCTGGAGATGTCATTTTACTCAGCAAGGGTTAAATCAGCCTTAGTATTTTACAGATAAAGAAGCTGAGGCCCACAGAAACTAATAGTTACTCCTTTGTAGGCATTCATTATATCATTTTGTGCTACTGTTGCTTTGTAAGAGCCTGTTAGCAGTTGGATGTCAGGTGCAGGCTGCATCTACCTGAAGCTGAAAATGTGGGCAGTCCAGTAGCAGAGCTGCAGTACTGATTTCTTCGTGGCACCATGAGGATGATTTGAAGAGCTACACAGTGTGACTGTTACACCAGTTAATTTCTTGTCGTTATTGCATTTTCCCAGGCCTCTTGAATTCTTCTTGGAATTCCACAGGACTTCTTGGGCAATAATTAGACCACTTGAATGCATGACCCTGTGCACCATATGTGCCTAGACTTTGATTTGGGTCAAATGCTAGTGCATTGAGCAAGGTAGCCAACTATTCTGAATTACAAAGGTAGAGTGGATTAGTAATCTGTTAAATATGTTCCCTAATATCAGGAGAGGGAGCATTTTTTAGTACAGGAAATCTTATTTCACACAAAGCTAACAAACTCAGGGAATTGATTATTTCTGAGCTGGTACAGATTCTGAGCAGCACTGTCACCCTTCTTGAAGGAGACAAGTAATTAGTCATCCTTCATGAAAAATGATGCATGGGGGGTTACTTCCTAACCTTTGAGGGTGAGATTGGAGAAAGCATTCCTGTCAGTGACAGAACTCAGGTCAGGGACCAAAGAACTGGTATATTGGCATGTTTTGTAATTACTGATTTCCAGGTGGCAAAAACTTAAGTTTAAAAAAAAAAACATTACTAGAAGGCCAGGGAGTTCAAGGATAGAGCACTTGCCTAGCATGTATAAGGTACTGGGTTCTGTTCTTTCCCCAGCAAAAAAAAAAAAAAAAAAAACAGACACACATTCACACTCCAGGTCCCTTAAGTAAGGGGTCAGCGGACATCCTTCCCTAAGCTTAGAGGCCCAGCTCAATTGCGGTTCTGTCACATCCTACACCCAGTGGAGTTTGCATGTGTCCTTTTTTCCTTCCCATCTTAGGAAGGCATAAGAAAAACATGAATGTTTAGAAAATGGATATGGGCAAAGCCATTTTCAGATCTACAGGTATGGACTTAGTCATGTCTCTGACCACAGATACCCCTTTCAAACTGCAAATAATTTGTGGGGAAACTATTTAAAATATGGTAGTCATTGGGAAAGCTAAGTAATGTTGCTAATCTAGAAATAATTTCAAATACAAAGTCCATTGATTTGCATTCTTTAATGAGGCCATTTGGTAGTGTTCCGTGAGGGGGGAAAGTGTTTCAGTTAAGACTTGAGTACTTGGACCTTTTTCTCTGTAACAACTCTGATTTCAGAAGTTATAACCTCAGCTGGGGGTGTCATGGCACACATTCCTAGTCCCAGCTAATCGGGAGGCTGATTGGGAGAGTGGCTTGTGCCCAGGAATTCAGAACCAACTTGGACGGCATAGCAAAAACCCCTTAAAAATTTTTCTTAAGTCATAACCACCTTAGGTTTGATTAAGCCCTAGGATTTGGTTTGTACCTTTCATGCACAGCTTCAAGGGTATTGACTTCTTGAAGGGCCATGCTCTGAAACTGCCCTACCCGCCACCACAGCCTTTGAGCTCTCTTGACCCTGTTGTTTTCCATCTGTATGAAAAGACAGGCTCTTCCCTTATAATCTTGCTGTTACATGTGGCAGGGTCTAGCTTTCATCTCATTTTATCTTGAAATAAATGCAGGCTCCTGCTATAATTATGCTGCTTTGCCTGTCTTGGATGCACAGAGCTGAAATGCATGTATTTTGGTAAATGAGTCAAGTTGCACTGAGGATGACTAAGTTGTGTGTGATGCACTAGAAGCAGCCTGTGGAAGAGTAGACAATGCAGTTGTTACCTACCTTCTTTCTGGTTCCTGCTTTTCCATTGAGTGTCTCCTTTGGCACTGAAGTCTTTAGAAGGGGAGTGTGAGGAAAGAGGGTGTAAGCATGTGTGCCAACTGGGTTTTCCTGAAAACACTCCACTACTTTGTTTTTTTTTTTTTTTTTCCCATGAGTCATTTCTAGGATAGCCAAGGATACACTGACAGCTGCTTTTAGCCAATTCACCAGCTGCAGAAACAGGGGAGAGAACGGCCATTCTTCCTCCCTTTCCTGGACAGAGGTCTGAATTATAGTCAGCAGCAAACCTTGAGTTCTTGTTCACTTCTCCCCAGCTGCAGTAGGGGATGAGTGCACTGAAGTGTGCAGTGGCCACCCTGTAATTTTCTTTGCAAACAGGCCTTGAAACACAAGGCATTTTTATAGCTCAAGAGCCTCTTCTGCCAGCTCGGTGCAGGCCAAGGACACTAAAGCTCTTGTTTCTCTCGTGTGCACCTTCCCCTGGCTTACTTGACTGACGAACACATCTTCCCAACCTGGTTAGCAGAATCCACACTGTGCTAAAGGGTCTGGTGTGCCTACAGGTTTCTGGGGCGCTAGTCAAGTATTACTGCGCCTGGGCCTAGAACAGTGTGTGCTTACTTTGGGAAGATGCCCACCTTCTCAGATGATCTCAGCTTTCAGAAGTGATCAGTTTTGTGTTGAGCCTCTTGTTGCTTAGGAACCTTAAAAGAGTTCATAAGCTATGTCTTGCCAGTGATCTGTGCAGTGAAGCAATGAGGATTTGGTCTCAGCCTGGGACCAAATCTGCTGATTATATGTGAGTTTCCAGTCTTCCGTGGAAGAGCCCTTCTTTAGCTGTGGGATCATGGCGAACCCAGACTTCCAAGCACAGCTAGTCTGCCTTTACAAGCCAAAGATAAAACCCAGGCATACAGCCTGGTTGCTCATAGATAAGTTTTATAGTAGAGACTAATTTATGCAAGATCATTCTACAGCAATTAAAAAAAAAAAAAAAAAAGCAATTTCCCTTTCAGTTTGCTTTTTAACAGTAACTCCCAATCCGTAAGGCACCAGACTTAGAGAAGTAACTCAAAGTGGTTTTACATATTTATTGACACTCCCTGTCTTTGCACTTCAGTTGTACATGTCATCTAAGGAGCCCAACAAGTTTCATAAATAGTGTGTGGCACATCCCCTTTTGCAGTGGGGCCAGGGCCCAGTAAGCAGGGATGAGTCCCAGGCCATGGCAGCTAGCCAGGTAGGGAACAACCCAAACTGAACTCTGGGTCCCTGTACGGGGTGGCATGGGCCACGTTAGCACTTCAGTGTTTAAACTTTTCTCCCGCGTGTAGTTTATGGAGGAGGAGACGCTGGCTACCCACCACCACCACCGCGCCCCCCACCTTCAGCCAGCTGCCGTTCCTCTCTAGCAGCAAGGCACCACCCCGCGGCCCTGCCCTCTGGGAAGCAGTGTAAACCTCCACAGGTAGCACCAGGTGTGTTCCCCAGGAACCTTGAGCTGGAGGCTGGGAAGATGCAAGAGGGGAGCCGGATTGCAGGCAAGGGGGCTTTCCAAGTCTTCCAGTTGTCCAGTTAGAGTGACAGAAAAATAGGTGAACTCCTCACTACCTGTCTGCAAACTCTTAAGGTGTGGTGGCCCAACAGCGAGGTAAGGCCTTTATCTTAGGGGCAGGTGGAAGGATGTATGCAGAAAACTCTAGATCAGTGCTCCAGTTACATACATAAACTGAATATATTAAAGCTTCAGAGTTTTTACATCTATCTCTCCCCTCTCCCTGGCCACCCTAGAGGTGGGAAAGGAAAGGATATAAGAAAACCCCACTAAAGGTGGAGTACATTTCATCAAAGTCTGTATGGGCCAACCTGCCCCCAGTCACCACCACATTGACACCGTCTCCGGCCTTCAAGTGCACAACAAGGTGGAAGGCCCCTGGGCCGCCGCAAGTGTGCACAGCCCCTGGGGGTCGGTGGTACTCCAGGAATTCTCTCTTGTACCCGGCTGTGTGCAGCTGGGCCACACTGGCATTGGAGACTGAGAGGACGGCTTCCACGTAGGCATCCCGCTCAGGGGTGAGAGTAGCTGTGATCAGGTAGCGCCCATCGTAAGGAGCTGTGAAGATCCCTAGGGGGAGGAAGGCAGACAGGTGAGCTCATGTGACTCCTTCAAGGCGTGTGATGCTGCTGCACAGTCTCCCATGAACTGATCAGAAACTTAACAAAGCCTGGGGTACCTGGAGTTCTGTTTCTCCGAGTTCTGCAGGGGGCTTCTATGCCCTCACAACAGGGGATTCGCTGAATGGTGACCAGGTGGGCCAGTGTGAGGACAGTGGCTAAAAATTACCAAAAGGCAATCAAGTCCCTCTCCAATAGCTTACAAGCAGTGCCCCTCAGGAGCACCACGTCCACATCAAATAACTACTGCCAGTGGCACCAAGGCTGGTTGGAAAAGGACCACAACCTCACGCCACCTGCCCTGTGGGCTCTTCCCTGGCCTGGTTGGCTCAGGCATGCCAGGAAACCATGCTTCTCTTGGGATTGCCCAGTGGTCCAGACAGGCAAGCAAACCTGGGTGGACAGTGATGGGCTGATGAGAAAGGCCCTTCCCTTCATACAGAGGAAAAGGAGATCCCCACGCAGGGTCCCATGGAGGAAAGGAAGGCGGATGGCGCTGTCAGGAAGCCTGGGGGGAGCTCCATCCCCACTATCCTCACAGGGTTCCCCAAAATAACCCAGGGCTGAGGGCATGGGGACAATGCAGGCACTGCAGACAGACTCCGAAGTATACATTTTTAAGTAATTCTGTTTACAGTATGAGACCCAAATGCCAGAATCCTCCCCTTCTGGAGAGAACACAGCCCCATTCTTAGCTCTGTTCATCATAAACAAGATTCTGGAGGAAGCCTATTGCTTGCCAAGTTCCAGGGGGGTTAGAGTGACTGTCAGATGTGGAGAAAGAGTGGTGCTCCGTGGCCACTAGAGGACAGCTGGGAGGGAACTGGTCACAGTGCAATAGGCCAGGGCTGTCAGAGCATTCTTAAGTACCATACAAAAATGAATGACCCTTCAGTGATGAGGGGCCAGCATGCTGACCTCATGACTAGAGAACGTGGCTGCTCACTTGCCTCCCACAGTCCTGGGCAGAGCCGCACATGCCCAGGGTGAACTCCCTGACCCCACAGGAGTGGGAGCACCCCACCTGCACTGGGGTAAGAGGAGGCAGCACCACATTCCCTGCAAGTACTCACCAGTTTGGGGGTTATAAACATCCCCGTCATTTACCAGCACCTTGTTGAAGAGGACAACGCCACTGTCACTGGGGAAAGGCTTCTGGGTAAGCCCAGCAGAAAAAGACACCAGAGCAGGCCCTGGAACCCCTGCTGGGGGAGAGGGGATGTCAACACAATGGCAGTTTCCAGGGAGGGGGTCTATCTGGAGCAGGGACAGGTGTCAGGGCCAGAAAATCAGGCCTATGTCCCAGGACCATTTTATTCATCTGAAAGTGGCAAAGTACCCAAGTGCCAGAAGGTCACCCTCATCTGTGATCAGCAGTCAGCTAAGGAAGCCTGGGATTGGACTGGCTCTGGTTAGAAGGATGAGAGAGAGACTGTGTGTGTGTGTGTGTGTGTGTGTGTGTGTGTGTATACACGCGCGCATGTGTGCAAGACAGGTAGACTATGACCATGAGAGTGACTAACTGCATGTGTGAGGAAGACAGGTATACGCATGTGTAAAACTGCTTACAAGCTAGGGGCAGGTTCTGGGTGTATAAAAAGAATCATTTAGGGAGCTAGTTACTTATTAATGAGCCCATAAAGCCTGGGCCCCCAGGAAGCTCATCAGGACCACCCAGGGCACGGGCCCACCCAGTGATCCCCTTGGGAAACTGAGCTGGGATGATGTAGGGTGGAAAATTCCTTGTGTTGGACCTGCCTTCGAGCCTCTCTGAAGGGTTCGGTCCACTGCAGTCAGCAGGGGCCTGCCCTGCTGCTGTGGGTGTGCAAGGGCCGGGCCCTAAGCTCCGCTCATGCTAACAGCCCAGGGAGGAAGCAGGAGTACAGAGCAGCGTAGAGGCTACAGAGGACCATCCTTTTTCCTGCCCTGTCTCTGAGCAGACGTACCTGGGGAGGCTACAGGAGGTGACTTGGGGTATCCTGAAACACAAGAGAAAGGAATGTCAAGACCTGAAACAGTAACTCATTTTGCTGAGTCCCTTTTTCCTCCCTGCCAACGTGTTCTACTTGATTCTCTATTACTAATGAAACAGACACAGCAAGGAAATCTATCCTGAGAGCTGCCCTCTCAGATCTGGAAGCACATTTGCACACTCCTGGCCCTGCTTCCTCACCAGCCTGCCTTGCCCTAGACAGGCCAGAGGGCCCTGAGAGCAAGCCAGCTGCAGGAATCCAAAGAGAAAGGTGGGGCGCTGGGGCTTTGGGGTCAGACCAGGGAGGCCTTCAACTGGACTGACTGCGTGGACAGTTGGGCAGGGGCCTGCAGACATGGATGGATTAAAAAACAGCCCAGCAGAATATAGTCACCCATGACACACGGAACTAATGGAAGACCAACATCTTAGAAAAGGCAACTGTGATCACTGTAGCTCAGGAGGCTGAGAAGGAACGGGGAAAAGGAGAGCTAGGGAGAGACTCAGCAGTGACCCAGGCAGCCACCATGTTTCGCTGGTCATGTGTGCACTAGGCCGTCACTAACAGGGACCAACCCCAACTCTGACCTTGATCAGGTGCCCCTGAAAGTCAGCCTGGTCCCAGAGGGGACCAGGAATGTCTATGGAAGCCGACATCATCTGGCCCCTCTGTTTCCTCACCTGTAACAGCCCCCAGGAGGGCTGGGGGCTGGAGACCTGGCACTGGGGAAGGAGCCCAGAATGCTCACTCTTTTTTCTTCGTGCCTTAACTCTGACTACACCATCACCAGGACAGTAACAGCAGTGACACGACACGTGTGGCACGCTCCGCAGCCAAGTCCTTTGCTCTTTCATTCTCACCCTAATCCCCTGAGATTCTGTTGCCATCCTCCCTTGGCATTGAAGGAACTAAATTTTAGGGACACTGAATGCCAGGTCCCAGGACTGTGGCGAGGCTGCCTCCCACTCTGCTGTGCCCCTAATGGTCTTTGCCCCGAGCAGGCTCACTAAACTTGGTTTCTGGAGACCTCTCCTGCTTGGGAAGCCCAGTGAGCTGCCCCCGTGGAACAGACAGTCCAACCCCTGAGATGATGACATTTCTAAGTATAATTTTCTTTGCTGTCCCTGGAGTGTCCCAGCCAACATTAGTTAGATTAGCATAAATCACGCCCCCTCTGGTCCTTGACATTATTGCAAGCTTCTTTCTGAACCTGTCCCGCTAAATCTGGGACCCTAAACCCACTTGGGGCCAGGCAGCACACCCACCCCTGTACCCCAAGGCTCAGGTGATCTGCAGCCGTCCCCTGTGCCTTCTCTGTGATAGGCTCACCTGGTGCTCCTGCGTAGCCTTCTGCGCTGGGGATGGCCTCCTGTCCCGTCTGGCCATCCACACCCTGGGGCAGGCCCCTTCCTGACACGCCCATCCTCCCCGGAGGCCCGGCCTCTCCAGTCTCCATTAGGACCCCGGTGGAGCCAGGCAAGAAAGGCAGCCCTGTCCAGCCAGGTCGAGCCGGTGGGGGCAGTGGCTCTTCTGGGGGCCACAGCTGCGGGGGTCTCTTGGGCAGCACTGGCCGTTGGCCTGTGTGCAGTCGTCTTGCGGGGTCCTCCGGTGATGGCCGTGTTGGCTTGGGCTGTGGCAGTTCAGTGGGGGCTTCCGACGGCAAGGGCCTTGCAGGCACCTGTGGGGCCTTTGGGGCCAGAGGCTGGGGCGTTTCTGAGGGCTCCTCCGCTGAGCATTAAGAGAAAGAAACACAGGGTTAAAAAATCTCCAAGTCATTGCTGGTCTCAGGTCTGTGAGGGACTTTGCTTAGTCTCCAACACAAGCTAGTCTCAGGAGCATCAGCCACGTGGCTAGAGCATTGTCCCCACCAGGACATCCAAGAACAGCACCACAGCTTGGGGCAGTTTGCCTCACATCTGAAGAAGCTACGGTTAAGCTGCCTTCAGGTCACCCTAAGAAGCCAGCTAGGAGCCTCTGCCCAACACAAAAGGATTTCCGCCTCTCCTGTGCAGACAGAGGCACTCTCCAAAATGGCATCCTGCTTGTTCGTTTAGGTAAACGAACAGATTTCACTCCATGCTTATGCCATGAGGTATCACAGGTTACAAATTAAAGGAACCTGAAGCCACTGGCCACCTTAGTCTCCAACACAAGCTAGTCTCAGGGTCAGCTGATTGTTGAGGAACTCTGCTGTGGAGACCCCACATCTATCCCCAGCCAGTGATCTATGCATATTTCAGGGAACCCCTCTCTGCAGTTGACATAGATCCAAAGGAGCAGGCATGCCCACTTGTCTCACCACACCCTGTGGATTACCAGTGGAAGGAATTTCCCACAGAGGAACCTCCTGATTCACATTTCTCTTTTTGAGATGGTCACTGTGACTCATCCAGAAGCTGCCGCCCATTTCTTCTCCAAATACATTCTCAGAACCAACCTTCCAGGAACCCATTCCTGAGCACCCCTCTAAAAATAACCAGTCTGACTGAGATTCCATTTGCAAAGGGAAAACAAACACCCACCTCCTCTGTTTGGTCCTGCGATGCCCCAGGTTCCAAAGCTGCATAATCACAGCTGGGCAACAGTGATTGTGTTGTGGCCCAGTGTCTAGAGTGAGCATTCTCTAAGGTAAATATGGCAGATCAAATGCATGCTCCCCTCCACCCACAGCCAGGTTCCCAGACCACCCCTAGAGAGGTTATTTCTCAAACAGCCTTTCCTAACCCATGTTTCATGTTGAGAATTAAGCCCTACAGAAAACGATTTGATCATTGTCTCTGTTCTCCCAAGGATGGTACTGAGCTAATTCCATTCTATGTACCAAAAAGTTCACTCATTACATACAACAGAATGGCTTCTGTCGCTGAGAAGGTCTGGGTGTGATAGAAAAACCAAGGCACGGGCTGGGACTGTAGCTCAGAGGTAGAGCGCCCGCCTTGCACATGAGAGGCACTGGGTTCGATCCTCAGCACCACATAAAAGTAAAGATATTGAGTCCAACTCCAACTAAAAAAAATCAAAAAAAAAACACTGAGGCAGAAGGAGTATAGACATGGGGACACTGGTATAAAAGCACTAAGTCAAAGTATATACACTGAATAGACCCCTTCTCCTGCTCAGCCCTGAGGACACTTGCTCATACCTCTGATCAGTGATAGGATTCTTCAGAATTGCCCCTGAAATGGAATCTAGTCATGAAACCCTATTTAGAGTTCACTGTTAAAGATGAACCAAGTAAGGGTCACCTGGAATTTGAGGAAAGCCACCAGTATGAAACAGAACAAAACAAGCTATCTAAACAACTAGTGAAACGGAACTCTTAAGTAAGCACTCGCCTAGCACGTGTGAGGCACTGGGTTCAATCCTCAGCACCACATAAAAATAAATAAATAAACAAAATAAAGGTATTGTGTCCATCCACAACTAAAATATAAATTAAAAGAAATAAGAATATGATGAGCCTTTGCAGATTAGAAGTATGTTTGCCAAAATAAGAAAGTCTGATAAAAGGGTTGATAGACAAAATCAAGGAAATCTTTCAGAAGGTAGAACAAAATGATGGACAGGAGGAGGAAACCATAAGAAAATTATCACGTGGTGGTGGGGGCCTGGGGTTGTGGCTCAGTGGTAGAGTGCTTGCCTAGCACGCGCGAGGCACTGGGTTCAATCCTCAGCACCACATAAATGTAAAATAAAGATATTCTGTCCACCTGAAACTTAAGAATAAACATTAAAAAAAAAAGAAAAGAAAATTATCGGATAGTCTTTCTAGAAAAAGATCAGAAAAACTGTAGAGTAGGGGTGGGGGGGGGTGGTAAGGAGAGAATGAATTTCCCAGAACTGAAGAAAATTAAAGATCCTAGCATCATTGTTGAATAAAAAGTCTAAGTGCTATGGTTTGAATGTCCCATACAAAACTCAGGTTGAACTTAATCCCCAATGCAACAGGGGTGGAGGTGGGGCACAGGAGTGGAGGTGGGGCACAGGAGTGGAGGTGGGGCACAGCGCCAGGTGTTCAGGTCATCGGGTTCTCAACCTTACAGCAGGTGAATGTGATGGGAGTGAGTTATCTCCAGAGCAGGTTGTTATAAAGTGAGCTTATCCCCTTTGTGATTCTCTCATTCCCATGAGTTTGCTTGCCTCTTTGCCCTTTGAACATTGAGGCCCTCACCAGATGCCAGTATCATGTCCTAGGACATCCCACCTCCAGATTTGTGAGAAATCTCTTCTTTATACATTACCCAGTCTCTGGTATTCTATTATGGCAACACAAGAAGACTAAAACACCACAGCATATTCAGAACACTGAAGATAAAGAAAAGATACTTCGGGCTGGGCTGTAGCTAAGTAGTAGAGCGCCCGCCTTGCACATATGAGGCACTGGGTTTGAGCCTCAGCACCACAAAAGCAATAAATAAAGATACTGTGTCCACCTACAACTAAAAAAATATTAAAAAAGAAAAGAAAAGATACCACAAACTTTCAAAAGAAAACACATAAAAAGTACAAACCACAAGGGCATCATCAAGCTCTTCAACAACACTATGGAAAACCAGAAGTTAAAAGGACAATGCCTTCAAATATTGAAGGAACATAATTATTAACTTTAAATTCTATACCTAGCCAAAATACCCATCAATCATGAGAGCAAAATAAAGACATTTTGGGTTGAGGTTGTGGCTCAGTGGTAGAGCCTAGCATGTGTGAGGCACTGAGTTTGATTCTCAGCACCACATTAAAAAAATAAATAAATAAAGGTATTGTGTCCATCTACGACTAAAATAAGTAAATAAATGAAGACATTTTCAGAAACGCAATAGTTTAAAAGAAAACAGAACAAAACCCCTCAAAAGCGCCCTTTTCTTTAAAAGCTATTCCAAGTTCAAAGTATTAGACAAAAGGGGAATGAAGGGAAGGGAGGAGGGATAGGAATAGGAAAGGCAGTGGAATGGATCTGACATAATGAATCTGACATGCACATATATGCATAGACCAGAGTGAATCTCACCATCGTGCACAACCACAAGACTGGAATCCTAAGTAGAATAAGATATATTCCATGCTTGTATAAATATATCAAAATAAATTCTATTGTCATATATAACTACAAAAAAAAATTAAAAATACTAAAAAAGAAAAAAAAAACAACTGAAACTATTTTCCACTGAAATAAAGGAGTCAGCCATGAAAAAGAGTCAGAAAGAGGGTCTCACACCAAAAAAAAGGTGCAAGCTGTTTCTTGAAGAACAACTAGTGAAAGCAGTCTCAGATTGAAAGCCTTAGAGTCAATCTAAAAAAATGACGGACCCAGATTGGATCAGAAAGAATTCCAGAAATGAGGTTTCCAATTTTTTAAAAAAAACGGAATTGGCCAAATGGCCTGATAAGTTTTATGGCAGATAAAATTATACTGAGAGGCTGTTGGGAGAATGGGAAAAATCCAAAATAGATATATAAAATCTAAGCAAGTACTGACTGCTAACTCGGAAAAGCAGTTAAAGAATGCAATGTGACCATGGGGAGCTATGGTGCTCCTAATATCATAAATATTGAAAATTGATTTATGGTAGTATAACCACTTTGGAGTTGGGAGGAGAGGAAGCCAATATAAAATGTCTAAAGTTGATAAGTCAATTTAGAAGTAAAGAGGTAAATATCAAGAGGGGCAGGGAGGAATACCTGGAAAAGTCGTAGAAGGGAAATGGGGTGTGGGGGGTTAGGTTTCAGTATCAGCTTCTCAGTGCTATTTTACCTCTTCATATAAAATTTAATTGTAGGAGACACTCACAAGGGCCAGTTTCCACTCTTTCGCCTCCAACTCAAGCATGCTTGAGTGTGTTCCTTGTCTGTCTTCTTTCTTCCCCCTCATTTGCCACCGCCTGCCCCCAGCTCAGCAGCTGCCTTCCTCCCCGGCACACACACACACTTCCACCCCAGCCCCGAGCCCCAACACCTCCCTTCTCTTCTTGGATTTGCTCCAACCAACATTGCTCCTCTCTTTTCAATCATTTTTCCTTCCTCCATTCTGGTTCCTTCCTGGCTCTTTAGCCCAAGTTTATGTACCTCCATTCAAATTTTTAAAATACTTTTTCCTCAGTCCTACAACCCTGAATGAATTGCGATCAGCAAAATATCTTAAAATAGCTAAGCACGGCCAAGTATGGTGGTACATGCCTGTAACCTCTGCAGCTCAGGAGGCTGAGGCAAGGGGATTGCAAATTCGAGGCCAGCCTCAGCAACTTAGTAGATCCTGTCTCAAACTAAAAAATAAAACGGGAGGGGGATGTAGCTCAGTGGTTAAGCCCCTCTGGGTTCAATCCCCAGTACCAAAATTTTAAAAACAAATGGCAAAGTACAGGCCCCTCAGATGGGTCCTCATTCACCAAATCTCCTAATCAGTATTCTATCAGAAATCCACCATGGCTCTCCCCATCTGCCCTTCTAGTCCTCCATCTCCTGACACTGAGTCCCTCACCTCCTTTGGCAATAGCTACCTCGCTGGTGCCCAGCTCTCATCTGCCTTTTCCTGGCTTTATGCCTTTCCTTCTGCTGTGAACACCCCCTAAAATAGCCTCTTCCAGCCCCCAAGCCTGAAATCCAAGTTCAAATACCACTTCCTCCATGAAGCTCTCTTGGATCTGCCCAGCAAGCCCTGAGCAAGCTTCTCTCTGAACCAGCAAAAATTGGGGCCTCCAGAGACTGTTGATTTTGTGTATTTTTCTTCTCCG